CGCGGAGCAAAGGGATCTGGTTTGCACTCGTACTATACCTACTATGGTGCAGTGAGTATCTGGCGGCGATCGATGTGTAGACGACGTGATCGGGTCCCAAACTTGTTGCCTGCTGTGCCGGCCATTAAAATTGATTAACTCATGAACTGGCATTCAAATCAACGCTGCTCAAACGCTTTGACTTCGTGTCAACAAAATTTATAACAACTTATTGTCGCTTTTGCACTGGGCAGCGAGCATCGCGGACTGCGCTTAGTTACTAAGCCAAAAATCGTATAATGAGTGTAAAATCATCTTAACCCAGCTTTCCCCAACCTGCCTTGTGCCAACTCAAGTTTTCCTAATGAAATGAAATGATTATCATACATCCGCATTGCAAGCATTACATCATTAATTGATAGTACTCCATTTAATTACGAAAAATGCAGCTCCCCGCTGGAAGTTAGGGCATTATGATAAATGTGTATATAACCGAGGGTTGTTGTGGGCGTATCCCTACCGAAAGTTCCTACCGATTGTCAGCGGTTGTCACCTGCAGTGTATTCGATGTCAGTTCAAATTACTAGTGAATAATAGTACAGAGACACCATGGCGAGGGTGCCATGGGCGTCGGGTATCGGGCACCGGGGGGATCTCACCTGGTAATGCTCCGAGTGTAAGGTGTAAAGCGAACACACTCACACACACTCACGCGGCACTCAACTCATTAGAAGCGCATTCAGACCATTCAGCATTGAGTGATTGCTGTTGTTGCTGGCGCTGTTGCAGGTAATTGCCGGGCCATCTAATATGCACTTGGCCCGGTAGTCAGTCATTCTGTCAGCCAGTCAGTCCGTCACTCAGTCCATCAGTCCAACAGTTCAGTTCAGTCCAGTCAATCACTCCCCAGGCGCACTGGGTATTCAAATCCATATTCATATTCATTAGTAACGAAACGAACCTAACCGAACCCAACCGAACCCAATGGAATGCAAGAGAAAGGGGTATTACTCGCGCTCGGCCATTTTATAGGTATGCATAAGTACTCATATATATAAATTCAATTAGTATTTGCATTTTTTAAACATTCTCATTTCGAGAGAGGGGCAAATTAGCATAAATTCTATTTGGCATTTAAATTGTTTATTACACTGGCGGCGGACCTATGAAAATGGGGGAGCGGTACTTGACTGGCAGTTAACACGTGTTTTAATCTCAATTATCCAGGCTGAGCCCCGAGGGGCGTGTAAAGTTTACTCCGGAAGGGTTACATACAGGTAAAATATGTTTTTGAAACGCATTTTCCAAATAGGCGTCTGTTTTGTCACCTGGCACTTGTGTCCACTCAAAAATATACGAGTATATTGCTGCACATTGATCTTATTATTTGTCAAGACATTGCTGATCTGAAATTTCGGTCAGGGTCTGTTTCACTTTTTTTTTCTCATTTTGGCATGCAAATTTCGAGCTTGTCGCTTCGAGCGTTGCGTATACGCGGCGTGTTCTCAACATAGTTTTCCTTTATGGCCACGTTATAAACTGCAAGTCAGAGAGTCAGCTATAGGCACATGCATTTTTGGTGCGTGGTCTTTGTAATTGAAAAGAAAAACAACAAAAAATAAATAAAAACGGAAAAAAAGCCGGGGTAAAAAGGAAAAACCAAATTGAAAAAGGCTTTTCAAGCGGCGCTTTTGATGCGGCAGCGACCTTGTGCCGCACGCACTCCCCCTCCCTTCCCCTGCGGCAACCTTCTGGATTCCCCTACGTTTTTGCAGCATCATGCCAACTAATTTTCCAAATGACGCAAGTTAATTGCGACGGCCCAGCCTTTGTCAAAGGTGAAAAATGCCCAGACTAGAAAAGAGGGGAAAGAATGGCCACAATGTAGCACAAGGGGCAGACACAAAAGCCAAGGCGCATTCATTAAGCCAAATCATATTAAGTAAATATGTCGAGCAGCCAGAAGGAGGTAAGTGCACTGGCCGAATAATTGTTAGTATTGGGAATATTTTTGATACCAATGATATCTCAAAAACTTAGCTAGCACGAAACTGCTAAATGGATATCATAGTTCGCCTTGTAAGTTCCTCAGATGTTGTGGAAAAATCCTCCAAACTCGTGAAGGCTCACAAACTCGATCTGAGCATTTCGCAGCTAATTTCTCCGGGTGTACGATCCATGGGGCGCCTGTCACGGCTACCGCTGGCCACTCCCCACCTTTCAAGATCTCTGGCGCCTTCTTAACGGAGTGGAGAAAGATGCCGGAGAACCACAAACAAATTAGTCAATGACGCGGCGATCTTCTCCTTCAGTGTATTTTCATTAATATTTTATTGCTTAATTCCTTTTGTTATGCTGATTATGCCGACGCCAGAGCTCACACTGAACAAATGAGGCTGCTGTTGTTCATGGGAAAACGAAGCGGTGCGGATCGTTGCATGATTTTCAATAATTTAACAGCGGCTTTCAATATACTTGCTTAGTATGTATGTGTAGTATAATCCCTTTAGCGGAGCTGAGCTTTTCTGTGATCTAGCTGGAGCCACACAAATGTTCGTTTCAGTTTGTCTCGGTAATTTATCATCTTTCTCCTCTGCCTGCTGTTCATTTTTTGCCTCTATGATGTCTTTAAACACTTTTAATTAAAACCAATGCGCATGTGTAACTTTCTTAAGCAGGCCCCAAAGTCGCAGTCATTTTTTTTGTTTGGTTTTTTTATATGCTTTTTTTTGCTTTTTGGTCTAGTCGCAGCCGTCGCTTTGAACTTGGCCGACAGGCGCGTTTGTTAAATGATTGATGTGGTATTAATTTTAATAAACGTTTCTCGTTCCTCGCTGCTCCATCAATATGCAGATCCGTTGGAGAACGAGACCAAAAGACCGAAAGACCGAGAGACCAGGCCAGTTTATAGGAGCCAGCTCGTTTCGTTTCGTTCTGCGGTTCTGGGCAAATACATTTTTTATGGGCTCACGCAATTGCGTGGCGTCTGCACTTTGGTTCGAAAAAAACAAAAAAAAAAATAAAATACGTTGAAAAATGGGAGAAAAGTAAACGTGGAAAAAGGGGGCGGGGCAGGCGGTGGCCAGGGGCAGCAGATTGCCAGTGCCTCAATCACATTGCGCCCATTTGGCGTGGCTGACTCTATTAAAAGTGTCATGCGATGCAAGCTAATCCTTCAGAACACAGGTGATAAATCTAAATTAGTTTTATTTAAAAACTTAAATACATGCGCATGGGATATACCATTGTCTTGCAAAACTTGTAACATATCAGTTTCGAAACAGTTGCCGTTCTTCTTAAAATACTTGGCATACTGAACTACTGATTAATATTTTAAATGTCTTCTGACATGGACATCAAGTTATAGAGCGGATATTTACAAAATATGTTTAGCCGTGAATTACATAGCTTTGGGCCCATATCATATGATGTGGGCCAACACGATGGGCTTGCATAATCAGCTAACTGAAATCCGAATTGAAATCGAGAGCACAAGCCCGGAGGAGCCGTACAAAAACGATCATTAGCGGAAATCTGTCTTAGTTTTTCGGGCCAGATCAAAGGCCGGTCGAGATTGATGAGCGAATTTTGGATCGGGGCCAGAAGATCATTATGAACGCCGACGTCTGATGCGTTTTAGCCTTTAAGTGTTTGCTTCCGCCGTGCGATAAGCGGTACGAGTCGAAAAGTCAGCGTGGAAATACGATCTCTACGGATTTGCCAAAACCCCAAAAAAATCAAAAAACAAAAAAAAACAAAAACGATTTTAAGTAGACCCAGGAATGATTCCGTCGTTAGCTTCACACCTCAAGTGAGCCTGAATAATTGATTTTGAGGCCGAGAAACGAGAAACGGCAAACGGCGCCTACCTGGTACCTCAGTATCTCTGTCTATCAATAGTATCTGTATCTGCAGCAATGTATCTGCGGCCCATGCCGTGAAATCCGTTGGCACACAGAAAACAGTGAAAAATCCGGGGCTGAACAAGCCGCGTCCAATCGATTTGTATCCCGTACCCCGGCATTAGATACTCCCAAACACCACCGATGAGTTCCAATCATCGCCTCACAAAGGGAATCCAGCTGAGCGGCTGACAAAAGGTGTGCGCTACTGTGAATTCCTCGGATGCGAATTCGTATCCGTAACTGAATACACTTAGGAATCCGCGGCGTCTGTTGTCATTGTTTGTTTATGGCTGTTTATTGTCAATGCTAATGCCGTGTAAGTGGCTGATTTGTCCCATTACAATACATACATATATTTATACGCGACAATTGGTATGGATTTGGCCGCCGCATCTGTGAGATACTTGTTGGCAAAAATACCTAACGTACAACAACTTGACATCTCTGCGCGAATGATTTATGCCGAGGTGAACGAGTGTCTGTGGGAGGCATTCATCAAATCATGACTTAGTCGGCAAATGCCTGCCAGTCACTTGTCTGCAGTGCGCTCGCATATGTATCTATGAGATACTTCGGGCTAAATTCTGCAGCGATATCTATGAAATGTTTGGCGAAGCGAGTAGTAGGCGTAAAAAATGGCTGCCGTTTTTTTGGGCTCGCAATGGACTAGTTTTTCTAGAAAAGTTGGTTAATATGCTTGTAATTCTGTAGATTACAAATAGTCCAATTTTAGGGATTATAATGTTCTTATTATTTGATTACTTTTTATCAGATAGATGGCAATTGTATCTAAAGTGATGGTAACTGTAATTGCATAATTTCTTATCCAGATAGATGCATTTGTATCTTGCGCCCTGTAATTGCATCTATCAATAGAATCTACTACTTTCGGGCTATGATGTGGATAATTTCCCATTCGCTGGATGGCAATTGTGTGTAAAGTGACGGTAAGTGTGCATAATTGAAGCACAGTGCTAAAAGAGATGCACTTCGATAAGGGCGCTCTTTCCAAATCGCATCTGAAGTGACCTATCTTCCAGATACATATCTCGAAGTGCGGTTTTTGGGATCAACGGATTTCGGATGTCTGATTACAGATTTCAGATTTCGGCTTACCGGATTAACTTGTGGCTTCTGCAAGTGTGTGGCGATGTTGGTGATGTTCATGCCCATGGTCGGAATCTGGGATCCGTAGAGCTGACCGGCGGTCGGTGTCATGTCCGTTAGCATGGTTGCAGTGGATGTTGCTGATGCGGCTCCTGCTGCTGCTGATGTGTCTGCTGCTGCTGCAGTGGCAGTGGCAGTTGTCGTTGCTGCTGCGGCTGCTGCTGCTGCTGCTGATGTCAATTTGAGGCGCACAATGATGCTGTCTGTTTTTGCTTCTGCTTTGTTTTGCGGCCACTTGGGTTTAAGGTTCGATTTTGTTTTCTTTTCAACTCAACTACTTTTATTTTTTTAATTTTTCTTGCTTTGTTGCGGCTATTGTTGCAGGCCAGGCTCACGGATCTTGGAGAGTAAGGGAAAAAGATGTAAAGGACATAAGGACAAATGGATTGGCAAGCACAGCACAGCACAGCACAAGCACACACGCACTCAGAAAAAAAGCAAAGTGGGCTAAATCGCTAGAGAGGATTATGGCCCAGCTAATAGCCCAGATATGTATAATCCGTATCTGTATCTGTATCTGTATCTTTTCTCGAGTCCGTCGGCGTTGCACTTTTCTTCACTCGGCCGTCGGCTGATGTTTGCTGATGTTTGCTGCTGCGAGTTGCAATGTTTGACTGCTCTTATTGTCACTGGGGTTTTTGTGCTTTGTACATGGGTGTATATTTTCTTTTTTATTCTTTATAGACTTTATTTTAAGGAACACAGGCAAAAAAATGAAATGTAAGCGATGGAAATCAAAGGAAACTCGAACCAAAAATGCACACAGTTGTTTTGTTTAGCTTGGCTGCTTGTTGGCTTGTTGGCTTGTTTATGTTTGCTTGTTTGTTTGTTTGTTTTGCTTGTTGGTTTATTGTTTATTTGTTTGTTGGTTTGCTTGTCGTGTATGTTTATTGGTTTATTTGTTTATTTGTTTCTTTGGTGACAGGAGGCGCCTGCCAACGAAAAAAAAGTGTCGCTGCTGTATCCGCGCCAAAAGTAACGCCGTCGTCGCTGATCGTTCAAAGGCTTGCAACTGTTTCACGCGAACAAAAAGCTTGTCTAAATGTCGCCGCTGCCGCCAATGCTGCCACAGTCGCTGCCTCGGCCGGCGTCGCAGCAGCAGCGGTGCGAGTGAGACAGCACGCTGTCGTAAATTCACTCCGGCCACCCGAAATTCAACGCTTACTGTTGGGGAGGGGGCCCACAATGCCATCAGTGCGAGCGAGACGGTCGTACAGACAATCCCAACACAACAAAAAAATATTAAGTAAAACACACACACACCACTCTTTGGTGGTGCGAATGGGTGCCAGGGGTGAAGATATACTATATGCCTTCGCATTAGTATTCGTATTCCGGTGGTGTGCGGCGCGCCTTTCCCTTCCAGTTTCATTCATAAAAACCCCGGCTGCTTTTGGGTAAAAACCAGTTCCCAGAGCTCAGCCCCCTCTATATGAACGCGTTGGCCAATGGCAGATCGGACGGGCCTAACCTATAATTAGAGCGATGGCCGCTGTGCGAGCGAGATGGCATGCGCACCGACACGTGCCCCTCGTGCCGTCTCTTTCGCCAGTCCTGCGGCCCTCTCTTTCATCGCGTGCCTGCCTGCGTGTAAAACCGAAAACAAATGCAGCCAGGCAGCTACTATTGCGTTCAATTAAATGCTCGCCAATGTTGTTGTTTTCCCAGAACTTGCTCGCTGAAAATCATAGAAAAAAAAACATAGGAAGGGTATACGATATTTATATGTATATATACATATATGGCATTGAAATGGAAATCCACGCGAAATGACAAATTGTTTTCCATTCCGACTTTTGGGAATTCAGCGAAATGGAGTTTCACGTGGAAGTGGTCGTGTTTTTAGCCCGAAAACAAGCGAATTAAGGGCAAGAAAATTTGGTCAAATATTTGGAAAGGAACAGCGAAACTTATATTACAACAGCTTTGCCCCTGAAAGTAGACTAACTTCGAAAAAGGCGACACTAAATGGTCTTAGCTTGAGCAAAAAAAGGTTAATATATTCTAAAATATAAATAAATAGTTAAGAGTTTTAGGAAATCAAGTAAAATCCTTTGGAAGATTTCACCTTAAGGCCATAAGGCTGAAGAAAGAGCTTAACGATTACAATACCTTTGTGAAACAAATATGAAAATTCCGTCTCATATAAACAATGTAATTTCAAGTATTAATTTTCTAGTATTAAGTAACACACTAGCAATACATTAAAAATGTACTTATGTACTTATAATCTAAATAAAGAGAGTCGCATTCGGAAGATCCCTCCCGATCGAGATTTTTTGGAACTAAATCCAGTTTAACCCCTGCCAGTTGGGCCTCCCGCAGCTGGAAGCTGCCGGTCGAGCTGTTGCATTTGAGGGCTGCAGCTGAGAAACGGGCTAATTGAACCACACCCCCCCGTACCGTACCGCCCCTCCCCGCCCCGCCCCGCACCACACCCCTCTGGCCACTCTGTGCAAACAAAACGCCCAGGCAGCCGAAAAACGCCAGTCCCTGTGAAAAGCTGAAAAGTCCAACAACATCAGCGGACTGTCGATGGAGGTGGATGAAGTGGCAGTAGAGATGGAGTGGAAGTGTGCCGAGCACAAGTCGCCTGGCCGCGGGAAATTCTCTGCACAGCGGGAAAATTGATACAAAATTTAATAGATTCTACTACACAAAGAAACCTTGATAATAACTTGCTAATGCCATCACTTTTAAGCCAGGCCCAATTATAGGCTTTAGTTTTTAATATAATTACAAATAATATGATTTGGAATAGTTTGAATAAATGAAATTATTTGATAACATAGAATGCAATTTATGTGTATTTGTCAAACATCTTATTGTAAGTTATTATTGCAGTGCTTTAAGGGCTTCCACTTCAGTTGGGCAATTCTGGTTTCTTGCAGTGAGTGGCTGAGTTTCCCAACTTCAAATCACGACCGTGCTGCAGGACAAATGCAACACATTAAGTGGGGGCGGTGGGTGGGTGGCAGGGCGGAGTGGGTGGGTCCAAGGGGTGTGCCCAAAAGTCGCAGGCAAGGCCAAGCCACTTCCTGACTCCTCGTGGCCATGGTGTTGCGGTTGGACCTCATCAGCTGGGCAAACTGATAACGCTGACTGATTGCACGAGGGCATCCCCGTTTTTGCCCCCAGCGCCCCTTGCTGTGGAAAGCTGGGGGTATTCATCTCTTTCGCTGAGATCTGTACGGCGAATCAGCTTTCTGCACTGCATCTCTCTGTCTCACCGACACTACCTGTCTCTTTTCCGCCCAACCAGGGTGGTCTGTCACGCATTTTCCCCCCACTTTTCATTTGAGTGGGTGGTTACCTCTCAGCATTGTTGCCTTTTTGGAGTAGCTTCGATTGCCTCACATCAAGTCGATACATGTGTAAAGGGAAACAGTGCTAGAAGTAATTTTCCTGATTTTCCGCCAAAAAATATTCCGTGGCTACTTCATTCAAAATAATGGAACGAATATGAATGCCATACCTTCTCAATCTCGTTATAAAATTTATAATCAAACTGTATTCAAGAGTAAAAGCTATAATTTTTTCCAACAGAGTAAAATGGGGATGGTTAGCAATAATAAAAACCAACTTAAAACAATATTCTTTCATATTTACGATCATTTTTCGTCAAGTTATGATTAAAATGCCCATCAACAAATTTTTTAATTTTTTTCCAAAGCTGTTTTTCCTAATTTTGATCATAAAATAAACACGTTTTTTGCCATAACTTTAAAAATAATAGTCTAAATATAAAATGCCATACCTCATTAGGCTCGTACTCAAAATCCAAATCATACTGTATTAAAAAGTTGAAAATCAAATTTTTTTTAATTTTTTTCAAATTTTGATGATGTTACCCCTTACAAAAAAATGCAAAAATTGACCGAAAAATTAATTTCCCAAAATCCGTCTAAAAGTGACAGGGATGGTTAGATTTGGTAATAAGCTGCTCAAAACAGTTACCCTTTCATCTTTATGATCATTTTTGGCCAAGTTAGGATTAAAATGCCAATTTAAAATATTAACATTTTTGCCAAAATCATTTTTTTCTAATTTCGGTCATAAAATAATCAGTTTTTTGGCTACAACTTTAAAAATAATTGTCTGAATATGGAATGTTATACTTCGTTGAGTTCGTAATTAAATTTGCAATCGAACTGCGTTCAAAAATGGGAATGCTAATTTTTTGCCATTTTTTTCAAATTTTGATGATGTTACCCCTGAAAATAAATGCAAAAATTTACCAAAAAATTAATTTTTTTAAATCCGTCAAAAAGTGACAGGGATGGTTAGATTTGGTAATAAGCTGCTCAAAACAGTTACCCTTTCATCTTTATGATCATTTTTGGCCAAGTTATGATTAAAATGCCAATTTAAAATATTTAAATTTTTGCCAAAATCATTTTTTTCGAATTTTGGTCATAAAATAATCAGTTTTTTGGCTACAACTTTAAAAATAATTGTCTGAATATGGAATGTTATACTTCGTTGAGTTCGTAATTAAATTTGCAATCGAACTGCGTTCAAAAATGGGAATGCTAATTTTTTGCCATTTTTTTCAAATTTTGATGATGTTACCCCTTAAAAAAAATGCAAAAATTTACCAAAAAATTAATTTTTTTAAATCCGTCAAAAAGTGACAGGGATGGTTAGATTTGGTAATAAGCTGCTCAAAACAGTTATTCTTTCATCTTTATGATCATTTTTGGCCAAGTTATGATAAAAATGCAAATTTAAAATATTTGAATTTTTGCCAAAATCCGTTTTTTCGAATTTCGGTCATAAGATATTCAGTTTTTTGGCCACAACTTTAAAATTAATTGTCTGAATATGGAATGTTATACATCGTTGAGTTTGTATTTAAATTTCCAATCGAACTGCGTTCAAAAATGGGAATGCTAATTTTTTTCCATTTTTTGCAAATTTTGATGATGCTACCCCTTAAAAAATATGCAAAAAATTATCAAAAAATTAATTTTCCTAAATCCGTCAAAAAGTGAGAGGGATGGTTAGATTTGGTAATTAGCTGATCAAAACAGTTATCCTTTCATCTTTATGATCATTTTTGGCCAAGTTATGATAAAAATGCCAATTTAAAATATTTGAATTTTTGCCAAAATCGGTTTTTTCTAGTTTCGGTCATAAAATTGAATGCTAATTTTTTGGTATTTTTTGCAAATTTAAAAATAAAAAATTAGTACAAATTGCAAATGCAAAACACTTAGGTACATTTATTATTATTAATTCTTTAGAAATTACTCTTTTAAATTTTTTTAACGATTTTTGACCAAGTTATGACGAAAAAAGCATGGGAAAGTTCGTTAGCTAGCCAAATTTTACTTTACACCACTTAACACATTTCGAGGAATCTTTTTAGCTTTCTTGTGTAGTTTCCCCTTTATTCAACTGGCTTTTCCCATCTAGTTGGCATTCCCATTTAGCATCGAGCACGACTTTATTTACGATTTCATTAATTCAGTGCACGCACTGCTCGAAATCGACTGCGTTATATTTCTCCTCCGTGTTCCTAACTCCCTCGGCAATTTTCCAACTTCATTTGGGGCGTGGCCCATTTTGCGGGCTAGGTCCTCGACGAGGACGAGGACGCAAGGTCCTGGCGATGATTTGCACTTTCCTTCATTGTGCCTGTCAACAATTATAATGACACTCTTATTGTCAGCCATTCGAGACTTTCAGCTTTCTGCTTCGCTTAATTAAACCATTTTGCAATTTCGCTAAAGTTCTGCGGCCACGCCCCCGCGTCGCCTGAATGGCCCTCGAAATCATCATCCCCATCCCCATCATCATTATCATCATCGTCATCGTAGTAGTCGTCGCGACTTTTTATGCATTTAATTAAAAATTAAATTTTAATTGCACTCAGTTGCGGACGATTTTGCTCCCCGTTCGTTGGCTTTTTTCGCTTGCTTTTATTGCGCTTTTTAATTAAATTGTTTGCAACACCCACAAGTGACAGGCGACGACAGGAGCATTCGAAATGATGACGATCATCAAGACGATGATTTTAGTTTTAGGTTTCACTCAACTGCTGTTCATCAAGTACATATCT